GTGCTGGCCCTGCTGGCCCCAGCAAGCACCTCCCCGCCGCCCAGGCCCCAGGGAGCCATACAACATCCTGCACTCCCTGCTCCAGCCTGCCTACCCTGCCGCCCACACCCTCCTACCTAGGGTTGCCAACTCTGTTTGAATCTATTCTGGGAGGTTTCATCACATGATGTAATGATATTATGACTGATCTACTGTACTGTACTCAGGAATGCAAATGTACATTACTGTTACATTTTAAAAACCCACTAGACTACCGTATAAATTGGATTTAATATTTATTTTAATGAATTTCCTATCATTCATCTCCCAGGTAACTCTCAGCAGTCTCCTGGAAATTATATCCAATTCCTGGAGACTCCAAGGCAATCCCAGAGGGTTGGCAGCCCTACTCCTACCCCCTGTCCACCCCTGGCACCACTCTCAGGACACACACATGGTTGAAACAAAAAAACTTTATTACCCTCACAACATTCACCCCCATCCCTCTCCCCTCCCTGCTCAACAAACAGTAACCCTCCACCACCCTCCCTACCCACCAACAGTAAAAAATCCACTTATAAGTGGCAAACTATAGAGAGAGCAGCCCAGCCATGAGGGACGAGAGGCGTTCAGCCAGGAGCCCTAGGGCTAGACTCCGGCCAGCTCCCTAGTGGCTGGGAAGACCCAGGACTAAATTCCCTGCGTTAATGTGGAGTAATGCATCTACACATGCGTTAATCTGTACTAAATAATCCCACTTAAATTTGATACTTGGTTTGTGTAGATAAAAAATTTAGGCTCGCTGTGACAGGGGGCCATCCCTGGACCTGTCCAATGTTAACCCAACCCTCTGTTTCTGGGTAACCACCCACCTTTCTTTCTTGCCATGACCATGCCTTGATGGAAAAATAATTGTGATATTACCCAAGCGGAAGGCTGCCCATTTACTACCCTGACACCAGGGGTTGCTATCCACCGCTCCAAGCCTCCCCTACACGGTGGCCCATGCCTCGCAGATGGTATGTAAAGAATATCACCTTTAATTCTGATCTGGCCGTGCGCAGCCTCTTTTCCCTCTCAAACATTGGGCTCTCTTAAGCCCTATCTCTACACCCTCTCCGGCATAGAGCTCTCTATAGTCCTATCTCTGCACCCTCCCTGGTGCTGGACTCTCTGTAGCCCTATCTCTGTGCCTTCTCTGGTGCTAGGGTATACACCACAGCATGCCACTGGGAGGCCTCCTTCTCCCCAGTTAGCCTTATCCTGATCCACCGGATTAAAATACAACAAACAAAACAAGCCATTGGGCTATAATATAACACAACAATCTAACTCTCACTTTGTTCCTAAAAAAACCCCTAAACTCCCCCCTTAGCATAGAGGGCCTTTCCAGCCCTAAATACCTTCAGGACTCCTACAGGCCTAATATTCCATATGGGCAGCAAAGCCTGGCAACCAAACATCTCCGTGGAACTTCTCTGCTCGAGCTCCTTCCCTCCTGTCTGCTGCCAGAGGACTAACCCCTGCCAGCCTCAGCCTTGGGACTTATATGTGACCAGAGGCCTATCTCCTTCCAGTCAGCTGACCAGCCTGTGTGGTTGGGCTTTTAACCCCTACCCTTCTAGTACTTGGTGTTTCTAAAGACTCTGGTCTTAAAGTCTCCTAGTAACAGGGCTAGGGTTCCCTGCTACACTCATATAGCCTAAAATTGCCATTGTTAAACTGCATTAAGGGTGCATACGTGTAGACATGTGCCCCTAATGCAGCAGAAATTGGGCTAATCTGCATTAAATGACCATGTATAGATACACCCAATGTATACTGAACTACACTACAGGCGACCCTCGCCATTCGCAGGGGATACGTTCTCATATCCCCCGCGAATGGAGAAATCTGCAAATAAGGCACTGCGTTCATGAATGCCATCTGTGTTCATGAACTCAGTGCCCCCGGCAGCTGGGGGGAGGCATGACTGCTCTGGCAATGGTGGGAGCATGGTGGTGGCAACTGCAGAGCTACCAAGGAGCTCCTTTAAGTGTATTTAAAAAGCAGGTTTGGCATTTGCGAATATTTGAAACCGTGAATGCCAAACCCGCAACTAGTGAGAGTTTCCCGTATATACACTGCCTATACTGACACTGGCTGAGTTGAGCTTTATACTGATGCTAAGCATTTGTTATTACTGATATATCATTTGCACAGAGCTCAGCAAAGGAATTTATAAGAATCATGTTTTTCTTAATTAAACCAGTGTTTAACTCCACTGAATTCAACAGATTTAAACAGTAGCGTAATTAATGGGGGTGAACTGGGCAGCAGTCCTGGGCACTGGCTTGGTTGGGGAGGCGGGGCAGTGCAAAACTAGCTACTACTGCAGCTGGCAGCTGGCTATGCGATTGCCACCGGAAGTGCAGCAGCTGGCACTGCCCTGTGTACTGCTGCTGCTCAGGCCACAAAGCTGCCCTATGCCTTTGGGTTTAAACTGGCATAACAGAGACTGTCATTTAAGCCACTGTATTTCAGTTACAACATTTATGGTGCAGAATTTGTAGTAACTGAGATATGCCAATGCCACTTTTAAAAAGCATTCACATTAATGACCGATGGCCCTTAAGTAAGTGTATGAGTATAGTTCTTTATATTAAAACTTGCAAATGCATATATTAAAACTATTCAAAATTTAAAGTAGTCCTGAAAAGAAGCTGAAAACAGATGGTGCCTGGAAAGATAACATTTGCTAAAAGATATTACAATAAAATACCTTTTAAACTTCTGACATAGGGAAAACAAATGCTTTCCTGCTACCATTTTCTTAACAAAAATAAGTTGACTATGATAAGAAGCTAGTCCCTGAAAATAAATTCTAAAATCAGTATGCAGGGACAAGACAAAGAAAGATATTGTCAATTATTATGCTTCTGGTAGGGAAATGGATTATATTTGAAAGTGCAGAAGGTTGCTAATATAAAGAATAAATTACAAACAAAATGATTAGCTTTAATTCTTGTTCTTAGCAGGTAATGTATTCAGAATACCACTATTGGGTCTGGGCCCCCAAATAAGTCTCTGGCAGTAGATTTAGTCTTTTACAGTGGACAGCCCTCCTAAACAGCAGAGGGCATATTCTTCTGTTTGATAGGGTATAAGAATAAGCTCTTCTGTCTCCCACTGATGGTTGCTTTTTTAAGCTAACAGTAAAAAGTATAAAGAATATAAATTGTGCCCGTACCTCTGCAGGGAAGGTGGGTGAGTGAGTGGGGATCTATTATAATTATACAGCGGCACTTCTTGTTCTCAGAAAGGAACTAATTTTCTTTTCACCACACAGTGGTAATAATATACCCTGACTCCAGCAGGTTAAAAAATCTTAAGGAAAGCCTCTATAAAAAAAACTATCTGGCAGCAAGAAATGGCAACTACAAATTTTAGCATACTTGTTGGAAGGAGCAATAACAGAGGAAAACCAGGTCTAAACTAGTAACAAAAAATGAGTTTGCCTGATCCCTCTGACAAACAAATACCAACACTGGAAAACCCAACAACAATAGAACCTCCCTGCATAATATTTACTAGAGGGGCAAGGGCATAAGGGTGCTTCCTGCTCAAAAAGAAGACCTGTAGCACCATTCCTAGAATAGTGGCCTAAAGCAAAGGCCAGGCCTGAATGTTTTGTGAAAGGAGGTAGAGAACTCTAGATTTCTATAACACTAATTTCCTAGATAGGAATGAACATTCCCTCATCATGGCTCCTACCATCTTTTACAGTTGCTTTGTGATGGCTGCTAGATATAAGTCACAAGAGATACCATTTTCAATTGTGCTGGAAACATCCGCATCCATAGTCTTAGTGAAATGAAATGACTCTGATCTTGCAAGAAATAGCCAATAACTTTGTTGATGTCTAGATGCTGTGGTGAGGTCTACCTTGACCCACTGGAAGAGGTTTTGCTAACACACAGTTCTGACGTTCAGTTGGGGTCATTTAGACTCTTGAAGTGCTAGAAGACATGTGTAGTGGGTCCTTTGAGGCAAGCTTGTAATTGGTTTTAGCACAAAGTTTCAGAAGAGACTAATTGCATTTTGAAGCGATTATTATCCTGGCAACCTGCAGCCACTTGCATTGGTACAGACATCCCACAGCCAGCTGAGTCATAGCTTTCCCTAACGCCCAACACATCTCAAACAGAAGTCACGTCCAGCAGGGACAACTTCCAACCACACAGTGTATGGCTTTTACCCACTGGGCTGCTTCTCACACAACTGTTACAAAAAGGAGGAGGAAAACATAGCAACAGTAACAGCAAAAAACAGGAAAATCAAACAAGAGCCTCATGAGACATGAGCCCAACTTGTCTCTTTGTGACCCCAAATCACGTGTTTTTGGAGAAATAAAATACTGACAGTGGTAGGAAGTGGATGGAAAAAGGAGAGAAAATTTTGAAACTGCTGAACTACAACTGGAAAAAACAGAGATTGAGTGTTGTATGCAAGCGGCAGCAATCCACAGACACCCCTCATTTATATGCAGTCAGAAAGTAACTGGTGGGTCACAGCATACCAAGCTGCTATATCACCTCAGATGCAGCCTGCACACTGCCTGCTGGCAAGGCAGTTTGAAACTGCCACAACTCTATAAGCTAAGGTTATTTTCACTAATCATCTAGAGGAAGCACAGAGCCAGGAATGTGGGGCTACTTTAATATGTATCATATTATTTAGAGCAAACAACTTAGAAGTGTCCTTTTATGGAACTTCTATTCACTCATCCCCTCCCCAGGGTGGCAGAACACAGCTCTCTCTGGAACCTATTAATTCTATTTCAAGTGCCATCTAGAGGGGTCATCTGAATTGGATACAAAGTATTTCTTCTTTCTTACTAGCCCAAGGGGGCCTGCTTTTTACCTCTAGAAGCCCAGTAACAAGAACATGGCTCGATCCCTTCCCTGGTGTATTTCTGGGGACAAAATCCCTTTGAAGTTTTAATGACCATGTCATCCTCTGATAGCTCCTGAGAACATTACCTCAGTTTCGTTGCAGCAGAAGATGTCAGAAAGAGTGTAAAATTGTGGATGTAGGTCAGCCTGGGCTGGAGCAGGATTAAATAAGGTCTTTACTGCAAAAGAATGAAAATAAATTGTCCAAATTACTCGTGTTCACAAGCCATCAATTGGAACCCAAAACTCTCAGTTGCTGTGGCTAATATTTTAGCCGCACCAACTGACTGCCCCCCCATATGCAAGTTACTTACCAATACACAAAAATTAATAAACTTGTTCTCCTTTTACAGGAAAGTTAAATGTTTTACTAATTCTATCATGATTCTCCCTGACTTAACTTTCATCCTTCTGCTTTAAGGAGTGCAGGATAAGTTTCAAGAAGTGTTAAAAAATGATTAACCTAAAAAATCTTGAAGGAGCTGATAGTGATAGTAAACTCATCTTCTATGTGCATTCATCACTAGAAGATGTGGGGATACTTTGCTAGTGGGTGATACTGATATTTACTGACACGAGAAGAATAGCAAGACACAGGCAGGTTAGGATCCAGTCCCAGCTCTGGAGGGCAGTGTTCTTATCAACAGACTATTTTGCCCACTCCTCACACGCTCAATTCTGTCCTGTCCTCTTCAACCTTCCCCTGTCCCAGGCTTCTCTCTTCCTTGCTCCTGGCTCCTTCTTCCAGTCCAATTTTCCATTCTTTAGGATTCTCATCCTCATGCCAGTCTCCTTGCCCAGACATGCCTAATATCAATCCTTGTAAGTACCTGTCCAAATTCCCCTACATACTCCCAGTTTGCTTGCCAAGCCATTCCCAGTTCCACTTCCCTCTCCTCTCCAGTTTTTGCTCAGGCATTTTCATTTCCTTCTTAATTCCTTGTCTGTTCCCCTATTCTCCCCCTCCCAAATTCAGCCCTCAGTTATCCCCCCCACATCTGCCATTTCCCCCTCGTTTCTAATCTCCCCTCCTTGAGCACCTCACCTAGGCTCAGGGCCTTGCTACATGTAACGCTGAAAGCCATACAAACGTTAATCAGCTTAGCGTTGTTCTGCTTAGCGGAGCAGTTATGTATCAAGGTGAAAATCCTTTTCTGGCTGGTCTTCACCTGCACAGCTGTGATTTGCCACTACAGGCTTGGTGAACAGAGGCAGGACTAGGAGCTAAGGGAAGGACCGGCTCGCTGCTTCTGCTGGGCAAAGAGCAGGCCCATCACCGTGTCAGCTGCAGGGAGACCCAAGAGACTAAGGGAAGCAGCTTCCCTGGTGCTCTCTGGTCTCGCTGAAACCGACAGTGGCTCTGTGATGAGAGCAGGGCTGTCGAGCTTAAGCCCTGGCAACCCTGCTCTCAGCACAGAGCTGCCACAGCTTGATGAAGCCAGACAGCCCCCAGCAAAGCAACTTGGTTTTGTTGAGCTGTGGCAGCTCCGCACTGAGAGGAGGACTTCAGCCCGACAGCCCCACTCTCAGTGCAGAGCTGCTGCATCATGTGCAGTGAGACCAGAGAGCCCCAGGGAGGCACAACTCTGCCTGGCTGAGCTCCAGAGAAGCTCCTCGCTGCCCAGACCAGTTTGCTGCCTGAGCTCTGAGGGGCCTGATCCGTTTTTCCTCTGGAGCCCTGACTCAGCAGTGGCCACTGTGTTCTCAGATGCTGAAGGACTTCAACTTGGGCAGAACAGCTGTCTGGAGTGGCCACACCTTAATGGAACGGGGCAAAATTAGGCAGAATGGAGATAATCCTGCCCTGGAGTGCCGTAATTTTAAGATGAATAACAAGTGCTTTAAGCCACTTAAAAGGTGTTAATGTGCAGCTAATCCAGGTGTTAAAAGCTCCAGAAGCCGCCTAAAATTACCATGTAACAAGCTCCTCAGTGTCTCCTGTCCCAAACCCTTGCCCAGATAGCCTTAGTCTCCACTCCATGAGATCCATTTCCCCTCATCAACATCTTATCCCATTTTAGCAGTCCTCTGTCCCATGTTTATTGCAAAGCTTGTCCCAGTGTCCAGTCATGCCTTACAGCTTCCAGTGAAAGTCGGCCTCTCCCTCCTCCCACCAACAGTTTACAGAAGTCCTAGCCACCCCCTCAGCATGCTTCTTGTCTCAATCTACTCTTCCTGTCCAGCACACTCTAACTGCCCCAGTCTATTTCCCACCCTGACATTCACATTCAGCAGCTTCCTTCTCCATGTTGCCAAGATCTTGCAATGGGGTGGTCACTGGTCATAGACAGGACAAGAAAAGCAGGTTACCATCTCTCAGTTTCAGTGCCTAGCTCCTAGGTTAGGGCAGTCACAGCAGGAATTACAGGAACATTCACAATGAACCCTGCTGGCACATGGCCAGTGAAGATGAAAACTTTAGGGAATTTAGCTGTTAAACTCTAGAATGCTTCTACTGAGCATGTGGGAGCTATTTTTTCTCAAAGACGTAACTTGGCCAAGTTGGGCAGATTTTCATACGTACGAGAAAACTGCATCCTAGACAAAATTTGGCAGGGCAGTAGCATTTGTAAGCAACCACTCCAAAGCATGGGGGCACCAGAGTTTCTCAGATAACCATCTGCCAATTTTTTTTTAACATGGGCAAAACAAATTTTCCACAGCTTTTTCCCAATACCAGTAGAATGCTTTTGGCTGGGAGAGAAGAAAAAAACAGCCTCAGGCAACAACCAGTACAGCAAATATCCACTCAAATAGTTAAAGTTTGAGAAAGTTAAAAATATCTGGAATGTGGTATTATAATGGAAACATTCTATGATTCTATGAAACAAGCTTAGTAGTAGGCAATACAACTAGTCCTGCCTATAATACATTTCCAGCTACAGATAAATACATCACAGTTCTTCTCCAGTACCACATTAGTGGATTTAATATTATGATCTTGCATTTTCTATTGTTTGACATTCCAAAGGACTGTAAAGTCCTTTACAGACCTTACATAAATAAGAATCACTTCACCAATCAGTGAAACAGATTCACCACTAGGGAGGGACTTGCCAGCAGTTTAGCAGCAGACACCAACGGTAGACAGTGGTTCAGAGGAGGAATACAGTAGTTGAGTCAAATTTCCAGTGGTATCGATGTACACTGAATATAATTACTCAAGATGGAAACTGGACAGGATTAATACCCCTACTATGCCACAGGATCTTTAACAGCTAGTCCTGTGATATGACATTGGCAAGAACTGCTTTGTCCGTGTGTAGTCTACAAAACTAACATGAGATGCTTTAGTGAGCGTTAGACTAATCTAATGTGCAATAAAGTGTCACTGTCTACGCATGCACAGCAATTACTTCACAGTGTATTAGTCTAATGCGCCATTTTCTAGTACCTGTAGATGCAGATGTTGACCTACACCTCTAGATGTAGATGTTGACAAGGAGCAAATTGTGCCTGATCAGCATAGGCAGCAGGGGGCCACAGGGCACGGGAGGGAGCTGTCCTGGCTTGGAAGAACATCACCTGCCAGCCACATGGAAATCTGGACCCATCCTGATCTCCATGTGGCTGGGAGAGCTGTCCTGGCTGCCAGGACAGCTCCCCACTACTCAGTGCCAGCCTGATCTCCTCCCGGCTCAGATGGAGCTGCCCACCAGGCCAGGATAGCTTCCCTCCCCACCCCCCTCCAGAGCTCGGGGCTAAGACCCCGTGCCTCCTGCCAGTCCACAGCTGGCACCTGGGGGACCCTAGAGCTCCCCCAGCTACTGCAGGGGGCAGAGCAGAGCAGAAGGAGCCCCAGATAGGGCTGCTCCTGTCTGGCTCAATTTACTTCTGATGGGGGCAAGTGTGTAAACATGCACCAGGAAGCCCTTTAATGAGTCTGAATTTTCTACACAGAAAATTCAGGCACATTAACTGCATCTGTAGACAAGCCCACTGAATGGCAATGCAGTGGTCCTTGTCTCTGCCCCTCCACCCCCAATTTTTTTTCAGCAGCAGAACTTGAAACAGAGGTTTGAGGCATCTGGGTGTGCATCTGTTAAACAAAAATAGTCTAGAGCACTGCATTATACATGAGGGTGCTGCAGGCTAAATCAAGGGAAATGGCACTAACAATCAACACCTGGGCAGGAATGAAAGATTCTTCAGTGTCAGATAGCAAGAGGTTCACTTATCTTTGTCTATACAGGGCATTTGAATGTGTTTAGCCTCTCACTTATGGCAAATATGTGGGCTGCACCATTACTGGATGAAAACACATAGCTGCTTGTTACAGGCTGAAAACTGTTGCAGGGCCATTGTTGTCTCCTGTTTGCATGCTGTACTACGTGAGATTACAAACTCCTTTCTTTCCCATTCCATTTGCTGTTAGCTTTTTACACTTCTATTTAATAAGGAAACACTCCAGCATTTCTGATGTGTCAGAGGTCATCCCTTTCCCCCCTGTTAGCCCAAGAAGGTATGGAAAAATAAAATGATTTGCCTCAGACTACACATTGAGTCAGTGGCATAATTGGTAACATAACTCAGAAGCCCTGATTTCCATGTTCACTTCTTTAACTACTAAAATTACTTATTTGTGTGTTCTATAATCAGTAAGTTAGAAGCCCACATTTAGGTTATCCCAGGTATTTCCAGATGACTAAAGTCTCCCATTTTCATTTATATTCTTATGAAAACACTACCCAATTGCCCATCAAGAATGACGGGGGCGGGGGGTGGAGTGGGTGTTGGGCCTGGGCCTACTCACCACCCCCCCCATGTTACCGGCAGGAAGCAGGTGGGGGGGGGCTATG